GTACAAGATATCCTTTCTTGATTGTAGGTATACCAGTATGAGCACAACATTGCTTCATCAGTAAACATATATTGATTTGAACAAAACATTTTTTGATTTCTATAAATTTAATGACAAGTTTCTATTTTTTGTTTAAAAGTTTAAAATAAATTCTCCGATATTTTATATTTTTGTTTATAATATAAAGGTGTAAACGCTTAAATATAAAACAGATGTTTTTTAATGTGATAAGTACATCCAATTCATTTTAATACCCATGCTTGAATAATTTTTTGAAAGCGTTATGGTTATCATCTTCTATTTCAACCAGATACTACTTGATCGATCAGTATTAACAACTTCAAAACATAAGTTATAAAATATTATATTTGATACATTTCGTTTTTGAAAAGGATATTGAAATGGACGATGGTACTCCGTTTGAAGTAGAACCGCTTGAGCACATCTCTACCATGATTAGTGTCCTCCACATATCATGAATACAATCTGTATATAATGATAACAAAGTACGAATGTACAGAACGAAGATTTACCAATGAGATCATCGCTGCCACCTTTAGTTTACTTGGACACCATTATTTACTTGGATTAGTTTGAATCCCCGGGTCTTCAAACCTCAGTCAAAAAACCGTTACTATGGTTAGATCATGGACGAATTGATGGTGGGGCAACGTGGGTAGTTGCGATTAAATTCATTTGCCAACTATAGACACATTCTGCACAGGGCTGACTAACTGGAATTTATATTTCCCGGTAAGGATTCATGTGGTAGCTTTGCTGCAAAAAATGTCAAGTTGCCATATTTATTTATTTGTTTCCTGGCACTGTCATCCGTTTTGACACTTTAGATTTGTATTACGAGTTTTTGGTTTAAATGAATTGTGTTGTAATACTGTAAGTTAAAATAATTTTACTAACAGATCATGCAGTTTTAAAACCTCTTTTAGTGCGAAGTGTAGAAGATAGTTTAATAGCCGTAAAAAATAAAGTGCTTTTAGGGAGCTGAATTTAGTTGATGTAAATAATAACTGTTTATATAATTATAATTAATTTATTTTTGTTTCCTAAAATATTTTGATTAAAAGAAAATTTGTAAAAGTGGGCAACGCTGTGCCGGTCAAGCTTAATCACGTCAACGTTTATTTGATATGAACTATAACTATGCAGCACCATGCTCAAGGTACTCTGTCTCCTTCTATTTTAAGATAAATAATTAAGTATTTTTGAGACGATATCAATTCTTCTCGTATTTCCTTTTTGTTCTACGACGGCTAAGTCCCTTACAATAAATACAATGGATTAGACAATTATTCAAATAAAGCGCCATATGGATTTTATATTTTTATCAGAATTGCCATACTTAACAACTTTTTATTTAATATTCAATCCAACTTACATTTGCGCACTCTGTGGGGTAGGCAACCACAGATACTTTATGTAATTACGAAATAGCTTTTATATATAATCGATGGGAGTGAGTTGTTGAAAAGTAATGAACATGGCGGACTCACAGAGCTGCATGTTAAATAAATAAGAAGTTTATAACTTCGGGAATAATATTGTGTTTTACTTAAATACAAAAGAAAACATAACGTTACATGGCGCAGTTGTGGTAACTTCAAATTAACCTGCGAAATTCAGAAATTAAAATGGGTGATAGCCGAGGCGTGGCTCCTATGCAGTTGGAGGGAAATGTGGCCGACAATTGGAAAATATGGAGGTCTAGATTCGAAAACTATCTGGTAGCCAGCGAAATTAATAAAAAAGATGAATCTATACAGTGTGCCCAGGTTTTACATTATATAGGAGAAGGTGGGTTCAAAGTCTTCACAACTTTTACCTTTGAAGAAGACCAGAAGAATAAATTAAAAATTCTGTTAGACAAATTTGAATCACATTTTTTTCTGCCAAAGGAAAATTTAACATATGAAAGATTTAAACTGTTTTCATATAAACAGAAAGACTTGAAACCTTGGATCAGTTTGTAACTGAAATAAAAAGAAAATAAGCCATCAGATGCAAGTTGGGGAAGCCTACAGGAAGAGCTGACAAAAACAGTGCTGATTACTGGCATAAATAATCCGTCAATCAGGGAGAAACTTCTTGCAAGAAGACGACGGCTTGAGCCTCGATAAAGCAATTGGAAAAGTGTAACATCCTGTTAATGTCGAAAGAAAGAAGCGAAAACATGAGTCAAGTGAAAATTGATGCATTACAAAGGGGCAGAACAGGAACAATTCATAAGAAAAATAACCAAATGGGACAAAGTGGTGTACCAAAGAAGACAATAAATTCATGTACAAAGTGTGGACGATCCCATGAAATCAACAAGTGTCCGGCATTTGGAAGAGAGTGCAATTTCTGTAAAATTAAGAACCATTTTTCTAATATGTGCAGGAAAAAGAAGCAAAGTAACAAAAACAATAAAGTGAATGAAATTCAAAACACAGAACAAATTAATGTTGTAAATAAAATTAATGATAATTTTCTTTTTATAGGATCTGTAGAAGTAAATGAAATTAATAATAATAGATGGTTCTCTGTACTGGAAATAAACAAAAAAGAAATTAAATTAAAGATTGACACAGGAGCACAGGCAAACATATTACCGTTAAAACTATACAACAGTTTGGGTATAAAAAGTAATTTAAGACAAACACAGGTAACATTAACTTCATATACAGGTAATAATTTGAAAATTGTTGGTAAATGCTACATTCCTTGTAAAAAGGATGATAAAACCTTTAATTTAGAGTTTTATATAGTTGATTCAAATACTCAAGCTATTTTAGGGTTAGATTCTAGTCTGGAACTAAATTTAATTAAAAGAATAGATTCTCTAACAAAAAATTGTCAGTATAATTCCTTAATAAATGAATTTAGCGAGCTATTTGAGGGTATAGGTTGCATAAATGAGCCTTACCATATTGAAATTGACAAAAATGCCAAACCGGTGGTGCATCCAACAAGAAAAGTGGCATTACCTTTAATGGATGATCTGAAACAAAGTTTAGCGGAACTTGAAAAATCAAAAATAATTGAAAGAGTTCAGAAACCTACTGACTGGGTCAATGCTCTCGTTCTTGTGAGAAAGCCAGATAAAAAATTAAGGATTTGTCTTGATCCATTAGATCTAAATAAAGTAATCAAAAGGGAATACTGTCACATACCTACCTTAGAGGAAATTACAAGTAAATTAGCAGGTTCTACAATTTTCAGCACGCTTGATGCAACTCAGGGTTTTTATAGTATACTACTAGATGACGCTAGTGCTGATCTTTGTACATTTGGCACTCCTTTCGGGAGGTATAGGTTCCTTAGACTACCTTATGGCATAAAATCTGCACCAGAAGTTTTTCAGTCCAGATTTAAACAAATATTTAATTTAGAAGGTGTTGATGTATACATTGATGATATTCTTATCTGGGGTAAAACTAAATCGGAACATGATGAACGCTTGAAAAAGGTACTACAAATTGCTAAAGAAACTAATGTTCGATTTAATTTACATAAATGTAGGTTTGGTGTGAATGAAATTAATTATATGGGTCATGTTATATCGGGTGCAGGTATCAGTCCTGAAAATTCAAAGATAAATGCAATTACACAAATACCTAAACCACAAAATAAACAGGAACTACAAAGACTGTTAGGTATGATCACTTATGTAAGTAAATTCATTAACAATTTTTCAAGTGCTACTTCAGTTTTGCGTAACTTACTTAAAAAAGATGTTGAATTTCTATGGCAACCGGAGCATGATAAAGCTTTTGAGAATTTAAAAAATACTTTAATAAATAAACCAGTTCTTCAATTTTACGATGTCAATTGCGAAACAGTATTGTCAGTAGATGCGTCAAAAGATGGTCTCGGTGCAGTGTTAATGCAAAACCATCTTCCTTGTGCGTATGCTTCTAGGTCAATGACTGAAACTCAGACACGGTACGCTCAAATTGAAAAAGAGCTTTTAGCTATAACATTCGGGTTAAATAGATTTTATCAGTATATTTTTGGGAAAACTATAACTGTAGAAACTGATCACTTACCATTGCTTTCAATTTTTAAGAAACCTTTAAATAAATGTCCTGCTAGACTACAAAGAATGCTTTTGCAAGTACAAAAGTTTGATATTAAATTAAAATATAAGCCAGGGAAGGATCTTTTAATTGCTGATGCCTTGTCTAGAGCGTGTGTAGGTGAAATGTGTGATGATGAAATTGATGACGAAATTAATGCACAAGTATGTCTTATAGAATCACAAATTAATGTCACGGATAGAAAATTAAATGAAATTATTGAAAAAACAAAAACTGATAAAGAATTACAAGTGCTAAAACAAGTTATTTTAGAAGGGTGGCCAAATAATTTTAAAAAAGTACCAAATAGTGTGAAAATTTACAGAAAATTTCAGAGTGATTTGTCTGTACAGGGTGATCTTATTTTTAAAGGACAATCACTAGTTATTCCTCAGTCTATGAGAAAAGAAATGCTTGAAAGGGTTCATTATAATCATATGGGAATTAATAAATGTATTAAATTGGCACAAGAATCTATATTTTGGCCAACTATGTGTAATGAAATTAGACAAACAATTTCTCAATGTCATCTTTGTTTAAAGTATGCCAGGTCTCAAATGTCAGAACCATTAATTAATCATAAAATTCCGGAAATTCCGTGGAATAAAGTAGGATGCGATATATTTGAACTGCATGGACAAAAGTATTTACTTATTATTGATTATTATTCAAAATACATTGAAGTAGAAAAATTAGAAAATTGCTCTACTAGCTATACTACGGTTAAAATATTAAAATCTGTCTTTGCCAGGCATGGTATTCCTCTAACGGTTGTGACAGATGGAGGACCACAATTTTCTTCAGATTTGTTTCAGGCTTTTTCTCAGGAATGGGAATTTGATCATGTCATTAGTTCTCCGAGATATGCTCAATCGAATGGTATGGCAGAGCGCAATGTACAAACTGCAAAAAACATTTTCAAAAAAGTATTTGAAGATAAAAAAGATATTTATTTAGCTCTTCTTTTATATCGTAATATGCAAATTCATGGAGCTTATTCTCCAGCTCAAATTCTAATGTCCAGAAAACTCAGATGTATTATTCCCAGTACAGAGGCAAGCCTTAAACCTAAGTTAATTGATACAAATAAATACAATACATCTTTACAAGATACTCAGGTTAACCAACAAAAGTATTATAATAAAAAAGGTGTCTTTAATTTAAAACCTCTTGAAGTTGGTTCACATGTGTATGTACAGGTTCAACCTAATTCTAGTTGGTCTCCAGCTTTAGTTTTAGAAAAAGTTAGGAATAGAATGTATAGAGTTCAACTTACTAATGGTTCAGTCTTGTTAAGAAATCGGAGGTTTATTAAGCCTGTAGATAAAGGAAAATCTGTAATACCTGTTAGACCTACTACATCTATAAAACCATTTGTACAAAATAATATTCAATACTTTATAGAGTTAGAACCAGATTGTGACTTAAATAATAGGGGTGAAGGTAGTAATTATAATGTTCAGGAGGAGACTAATGTAAATACAACGGAAAGTGAGGATGATAAGAGTGTAGAGACACGAAATGAGATGTCGGGAGATAGAAGTGATGTTATGAGTGAAAACGAACTAGATCTTGATAATTCTGATAGTAATAGTTCTGTATCAGATACAAACTCAGACTATGAGCTTAAATATTTAAATCCAGAAAAAACGAGATCAGGTCGTTTAGTAAAGAAACCTCATAAACTGAATTTGTAGACAGTTTGTTTATTTTTAAATGTTACTAGGTTGTTTATTTAAAAAGCATGTTAAGTTTAATTTAAAGAAAAGGGATGTGGGGTCGGCAACCACAGATACTTTATGTAATTACGAAATAGCTTTTATATATAATCTATGGCAGTCAGTTGTTGTAAAGTAATGAACATGGCGGACTCACAGAGCTGCATGTTAAATAAATAAGAAGTTTATAACTTCGGGAATAATATTGTGTTTTACTTAAATACAAAAGAAAACATAACGTTACAATTTAGTGTTTTTATTTTGCTAAACATTATAATTAAACTTCATAAAATTAATCTAATTTTACATTACAACCCCAACAACTATAAAGAAATAAGAACATTTTTTAAAACTAGAAGAAACAGAACTTCGATACGTGCGACCAGTATAATAGATCAAGCGGACAAAGAATATAGAATACTTTAAAAATGTGAAAATATCTCGAAAATTATCTAAACAAACATTTTTTTTCTTATCAGTGAAAAGCATCGGCCTCGTCGGCCTTGCGGAATTTGTCAGGTATTTACAATGGTCGAATTGTATAATTACCAGCTTTTATAGCATATCTAATAGACAAAAAGTATCTGGTCGATTAGTAACCAATTGGCACAGTCCGAAAATTATCGATTTTTATTTTCTCTGTTTTTATTGGTAGCTTCAAAATTCAGAGTAACAAAAAATATTTTTCTGTAGGGAAACCGGTCCTGCCATCTAGTAGTCTTAGTCCATAAACGTCTTAGGTTGATCTACTTTAAAAATATATATACAAGGCTGTTAGTAAGAAGCTTCACTTCAAATATGCGCACATAGTGCACACACATTTTTTTTTTTAGTTTTTAATTAAAAAACATAATTTCCTGATAATATGGCAACATAGATAGTAGATTAAACTTTCCAGAAAGAAAACCCAGAAAAGATTTTCATTCTCAAAATTTAAGCAAAAAGCATTTTTTTTTGGGATATTTTGGAAATTTAATCGATCATTTGGAAAAATGGAAAGATGATTGAAGTAAAATAACTCGGTAATTTTGGACTTATTTAAAAAACGGCAAAGAGAAAATATGTTTCTTTTATCGAGATCTACCATCAGCACTGAAAATATTAGCACTTGTTTAAGGCTCACGCTGTATATCCAAGAAAAATAATGAAGTTTGAATGGAATATTCAATAGCATAATCTATCATCAGACTGTTGTATTTTCAAAGCCCGATAAATAATTAGTTAGATTATTAAATGGTTTCTATACAATTCCGAACTACATACCCAAATAATTATATTATATAAAGATTCATTTAATTAAAATAATTAATTATAATTTTTACGATGACAAATAGTTTGATGTAATTGCATTAATTAATTTGATTAATTAACTTCTATCAAGTATCAAAGTGGAAAGAAACAATTAGTTAATATATTATGCAAAATCAGGACACAAAAATCACTGTTAACACAAAATTAATATCATCATAATCATCATCATTTTCAGCTTATTCGACCATTTCCAATTATGGCTCCCTCACATATTTAGAAACTCTCTTTGTATTTGGATCATTGTAGTCTATTATGCGGGTCCAAGTTACTCCTGCTAATTTTCTTATATCATGGTTTGCTCTTCTTTTGTCCCTTAATTCCTCGTGGGTACCATGCTGTAATTTTTGTGATCCATCTGTTGTCCGTCCTCCTTGCCCATTGCCACTTGAGGGATTTGATTCTGTGGATGACATCTATTATCTAAATCTTTTATCGTATCCACTCTATTCTTTAATGGTCTTTATAGGTTATTCCCAGCATATTTCGTTCCATTCAGCGTTGTGCGACCTGCAGTTTCCTGCTAATGTCCGTTTTAAGGTTGATTCTCAATATACCTTCCATATCAACTCCCTTCCGTTTACATAAAATATTATATCATGTAATTGAATAGGACCTCTAATAGGACAATGCACACTATCCATTCCGTTTCCCTTCTGTTCCATATCCTTTCCTTCCTTACATTTTTTTGGCGGACGGACTGAAGCGTATCGGAAGCAGGGGTGGATGGGCCATATGGGAAAACGGGAAAATTCCCGGTGGAAAGATGGGCCGGTGGGCCGGGCCAGATCAGAGCTCAAAAAAGATTGGATTAGCAAAAATTAAATGGTTAATCTTCCAACTAAAGTGACCTAAGATCCTTAGTGATCCATAACTAACTAATCAATTTGCATCAGTATAATCGTCAGTTGCTTTTAAACATAAACACCAATTTGTAAAATAACTATTGTAAAATGTCTTTCTCCGGGATACTTATAATTTTAATAACCATCTGTTGTTTGTTCAGTTTGAAAATTTTGATTATACAAGGTGAGTCTATAAGTGCAAATATTTTCAGGGGTGGTAGATATCAATAAAATAAACATAACATATTCTCTTTATCGAATTTCAAATAAGTCCAATTGAGTTATTAAAGTTTAGAAATTTAAAAAAAATAGATTTATTTTTCAAAATTTTGAACCACCTCAATTTTTCGGTATTTGCATCTCTTTTAGTGCCGTAATATCAGAGATTAAGAAACTACACCGTGGGAGAATTTGCGGTGAACAGGAAGTTCTAAAAAGTTTTCTAAAATATACAGAAAAATTTCAAAGAAAATGCTCGGTCTGAGATCTAAAAGCCAAGTCTAAATTGATGTTTAAAATGTTGCTAAAATGAATTTACTAAAAATTACTGAGACAGCAGAGAAGAGTTAAATAAAGTTTAAACTAGATTAGATAATAAAATATTAATATGTCTCGAAAATCCAAATATTCTTATTATGGACTGTAACATAGCATTACAATCACAACACATTTATATCTACTGCCTAGGTATTGCTTAGGTTTTTTTCGTTTGAGTCATGGCATTATCATACAAGATACCAAATGTAGAAAACTATAGAGGAAAAGTTTCGTTATAAGAACTATATACTTAATAACCTAAAAAATGCTGCAGTTTTAATGGCGACCGCGGTTCATTCAGTTAAAAAACGCGTACACGAGTAGGCTGCTGCTGTAGCAGAAAAGAGACAATTTCTTTCTACTATGTGTAAGAAAGTATATACCCGAAAAGCTAAAAGTAATGTATTTCACAGAGGATTGGTTCAAAATCGTGACTCAAAATCGTAACCTATTCAAGATCAAATTACCGTTATCGATAATGGAAATAAATTAGTAGAACCCTCTAAAACTGAGCCATTTTGTAGTATGAATTCAGATCATAACAGCAAAATAAAACACTAAATCATCACAATACACCAAAACGCTTTTACTTTTATACTGGACGCGCGTTTCGCTAACCATGTTAGCGGCATCAGCAGATGATTAAACTTCTGTCTCACTGGCTCTACGTCCGACAGTCCGACCATATTGGTCTTTACGAAAATTTTGATCAATACAATTTAAATTTAAAAGAAAACGGAGACAAAAGAGCTTATTCGCACGAGCGAAAAACACCCTTACTTATATATTAACAAATAAAATATGTTTCCCTTTGTTATGGTCATTTTGTTTTTGTGGATTTGGGCCGGTTGCCTGTTTTTCCCGGGCCGTTTGCCACTTCCACATCCACCCCTGATCAGAAGCAGCGTTGTCAAGTTCTTACATTTGTACCAGCTCTGTTTAAATTTTGCTGATATTTATTCATTCCTTCACCTCCTAATTAAATCTATTACATTTTTCAAAAGATACAAATTTTTAAAATAAAACTTTCGTAATGATATAAAGTATACAATAAAATGTATGGAACTGATACGGAACGGAAGCTTACATACAGCGTCGATACAATAGAAATACGGAACGGATATGGAATGGATATGGAATGCAAACGGAAGGTATAGTGAGAATCAACCTTTAAGTGTCCAGGTAGATCTCGATAAAAGAAACATTCTTTCTTTAATTCTGGGGTACCATTCTGTTCAATTTGACCGCATTTTCAAGCTCCAGAAGAGAGCTGTTCGATATTCACTGGGACTAAACAGCAGAATTCATTGCTAGGACTTTTTTTAAAAATTAAATATATTAACTTTTACTTTTTTACTTTACTTTTACTTTTTTACTTTATTTTTTTACTTTCTTATTTATATTTGAATCCGTTTGCCTAATACGTAAGCATGTATCAGCTTCTCAAGGAAGCCCGTCTCACACTTATCCACTCAGGAACGCGGAGCATGATCTTTATCTACCTACCCCACGCTCAGAGTTGAGTTAAAAGTTCAATATTATACAACTCGAAAAAAATGCACATTCGCCTGCCATTTGAAATCAAATCCATAACATCATTTTCTTCATTTTGCAAAGCATTGAAATCTTATTTACTAGACAAGGCTTTCTACGCCGTAAATGACTTATATTTTGATAATCAAATTTGATCTTGTAAACACTGGTCTATTAGTTTTGGTCAATAAATTCCCCGTAGAGTAAAACCACTCAACGTTTCACTTTGTTACTTTGAAGCTGCTAACGATAATTGTTTATACGTTCGCTGCATTTCTGGTAGGTTGATTTAATATTCTACGCTGGTGATTAAGCTGCTTTCGATAAATCTACTTATTTACTCGAAAATCATCCATATTTCAATCAATAGAAACTCTTCCAGGTGAATAAAACTACCAATCTTCTGGGTCCGGCAATAGTGTGTTGGGCATCTGTAGCTCCTAGAATAAAAAAAATAGATTATATCTGCTTATTTACTCGAAAATAATCAATGTTTCAATGAACAGAAACTTGTGCAGGTGAATAAAACTACCAATCTTCCGGGTCCGGCAATAGTGCGTTGGGCATCTGTAGCTCCTATAACAAAAATTTAAGAATTTTGTGTAAGTGCAAACCTAAAGTATATATTAAGATAATATTTCAGGAATATACAGGGTGGTCCGAACTGTATTCCTGAAACTTCGGCACCATATTCCGCAGATTAAAATAAGTAAAAACATTCATGTAAATGTATGTCCTCATTTTTTTTTGAAACGG